TTAGAGGTGCGAAAGGGCTACGTTAGAAATCGTTAGAAGTACATGTAAAATCATGCGTAACGGTAGAGGTACGGAGGTACGGTAGAGGTACGGTAGAGGTATCTACCTCTACCGTACCTCTACCGTACCTTTACCGTACCTCTGCCAGCACCTGCATCGTAGCTCTACAGTATACCCCTGCAATATGAAGCATTATCAAGCATTATGAAGCCACGCCATGGGCCAAATGGGCCAAAGGAACCTAAGAGGCATGGCAGAAGGATGTTAGAGATGCGATAGGGCTACGTTAGAAATCGTTAGAAGTACATGTAAAATCATGCGTAACGGTAGAGGTACATAGAGGTACGGTAGAGGTACGGTAGAGGTACTAAAGGTACGGTAGAGGTATCTACCTCTACCGTACCTCTACCGTACCTTTACCGTACCTCTGCCAGCACCTGCATCGTAGCTCTACAGTATACCCCTGCAATATGATGCATTATCATGCATTATGAAGCCACGTCATGGGCCAAATGGGCCAAAGGAACTTAAGAGGCATGGCAGAAGGATGTTAGAGGTGCGATAGGGGTATGTTAGAAGATTTGTTAGAAGATGTTAGAAGTACATGTGAGCAGCATCAAAAACTTCCATGAAGGGATTTAGTATTCGGGTTCATGTGGGGAACCCCGCGAAAGCCAAATCTTCACGCGCGGAAGCCGTGCGAAAGCTCCGCGAAAGGAGTGCGTCAAGGTCGAGCCGCGAAAGCAGTGGCGAAAGCAGGTAGATAGTAGAAGCACATTTAAATATACATAAATATATTATTATATATTATTATATATATGCACCATTGTGCACCATCATTTACAGGCAATTTTCCGCGAAAGCAACGGCGAAAGATATTACGAAATACATGTCGCCACGAAAGCCAGAACTGTGCGCACGAAAGAACCGCGAAAGCCGTCGCGAAAGCTTATAAGGATTAGAACCAAATCGCTACCCGGTTTTCGAATGTTTTCGACGCCGATCATGTATAATCATGTAATATCATGTAATATCATGATATATCATGTATACAAATGTATACAATATGGAGAAGATGGGAGAATATTGGAGATAAAATCTTGAGTCTTGACTTTTGTTTGCCAACCTGAAGCGCCAGGACATTGTAGTAGTTGGAGCGCTGGACCCAGAACACTTGCACAGGCTCGGCATTATTTGACATCCATAGGCATTATTTGACAATGTTTGACATCCATAGCCATTATTTGGCAACATTTGCGGTAACCATAATTTCACTGTAAAATGCTGTGAGCACAGGCAAAAAGTGGTTTGTACCTTTATAAAGCTAAGTGGTCAATCCTGAACAGATCATGCTTTATCACGTTTTGTCATGGTATTTCCATGTATTTCCAACATTTTCCAACAACTGTCCAATTGAAAGTGCGGAAGACAAAGCATTCAGTGATTTTCATAAATATAAAGGGCCGACTTAAAGCTGATTAATTAAGTACATTTGAGATCATCTTAAGGGACATAATTTACATAATAATCAGACACATTTTGGAAAGAGCAGCATCTTCAGGCGTACGGTGGCAATGGAAGCCGACAGATGCCGCACAATCAGTCCAGACCTCAGCCACAAAACATCAGCACCTGATTCAGTGGTTTGATTTTGGAGCCATTGTTTTCCATCACGCCCCCACATGTGGTTGGAAGATGTTGGAAGTAGTGGCTCTGATGACTGAGATACTGAGATACTGAAGTCGGTCTCCAAACAAAGCACGGATTGAACAGTTGTGATGAGGGATTTGGCTGAAGAACCTGATGAAATTGACACTGATGATATTATTGACACTGACCGTTTAAAGCCATTTTGGCCCAGGATAAGTGTAGCCTGACCGACTGAAAGACATGGCAGTGTGGCTTGCTGATGGGGCAGGTACTGATGGTGCCATGCAGGTGGCTGATGAGGGTGCAAAGTCCTCAATTAACAATCTTTGCGAAGCCCTTAAGGGCCTCATGAATCAATAAGAGCTTTTTTGGTAAAGCTTAAGACCTTGTTTGTGTTTTCTGCTAAGTGGGCTTGTTTGCATCTGTTTACCCGTTGGAACATGTTGGAACATGTTGGAACCACGATCGCCCAACATGAACTATGGGATGAGGTCGATGTACAGGTGTGGAATGGGCCAAGTCCCATTTGTTGCATTGCAATTCAAAGGTTTTACAATGTTTTACCCAGCTGATGGGATGAGGTCGATGTATAGGTATAGGCAAAAAGTGGTTTGTACCTTTATAAAGCTAAGTGGTCAATCCTGAACAGATCATGCTTGATCACGTTTTGTCATGGTATTTCCATGTATTTCCAACATTTTCCAACAAGTGTTATAATTTGAAGTGGCAAAAAAGATGGATTCATCACGATTTGTCACGATTTTGACTTGCAAATGGCGCATCTTCCAAATAGAGGATGCCAATGCCTGCGTTTTTTTTGTGGTTCTGACAAAATCCGAAGGATTTCCATGGATTTCCAACAGGGTCTGGCAAGTGTAACCAAAATCAAGCATGACAATTTTTGACACATTTTGATATTTTGATATATTTTCCAGACGATTCCTTGTGACCTTGTTTGTGTTTTCTGCTAAGTGGGCTTGTTTGCATCTGTTTACCCGTTGGAACATGTTGGAACGTGTTGCATATTTGTGTGAATGCTTTGGTTTATGATAAAACACGATGAAGAAAATACATGAAGAAGGCAGGATACAGCACCTCAAGTGGCTAAAGCTCAAGAGCACATGGTTTGAAAGCTATTGAAAGCTTACCATTGGTGAGGAAAAACCATGCATAACAATGCATAACAATTTCTTGGGTCTCCTCTGGTCATCAACCTGCTAGCCACATTAACCTCTTCCACCAAGAATCCACAAAGGGAACTGCAGTTCGATCTGGGCAGTTTCGTAGTCGATGTACCTGACTCACATGAAGTCACCACTGTCTATAATATTTTAGATTGATTTATGGATAGATTTGGGTACCTGCCATATCTGCCACAACTTCTGAACTGCAAACGCCACACTTCAAGCCCTTTGGCCCATAGCATTGCTTCATAATGCTTGATAATGCTGCATATTGTAGGGGTATACTGTAGAGCTACGATGCAGGTGCTGGTAGAGGTACGGTAAAGGTACGGTAGAGGTACGGTAGAGGTACGGTACTCTACCGTACCTCTACCGTACCTCTACCGTACATGTACTTCTAACGTAGCCCTATGATCCCATCCTGTCATATTTTCAACGCACTAAAAAAATGTTTACGTTTGGACCTACCTGCTCAAGTCTGCTCAAGTGGAAAACCATGTGATCCAAGATGCAACATCAGTGCGAGAAGGTGGCGATGGCAGGCCCAAGTTCTTCGCCACATTGTTCGCTGTGGCCCACGAATCTAAGGTCTTCTTATACGCGGGATGATGCCAGTAGTCTCAGTGGCAGGGGCTTTGATATGTTGGGATTCTGGTTGTGAGGTGGTGTTCTGACTGACAGCAACCATGCATCATGATCATCTGAGACTGCGCATTTTGGACATTTCTGGGAAAATCTTCCAAGCATAGAATGAATTAGAATGACATGAAGACATGAAGACATGAAAAAAATCTCTGATCTTGCTCTCTTTGCGCTGAATGCAGCACAAACCGCAGTCCACGCGATTGCTGCTCCAGCTACACTTCTTCGTCACCAGCCAGCCCATTGCTGCTCATGGCTGCTCTCCAGGCTTTTGCATGTCACACGTTGCATGTTATTTTTTCTTCGATTCAGCGATATTGATATATATTGATCTATCTTAGGGCTCAACTTGCCATATGTAAAATAGATTAAAATAAAACATATTCCAAGTTGGTCCTCTTGATGTCCAATGATGTCCAAGTAGGAGTTTTGTGATGTTTTGTGGTGTCCGGGTCAATGCATGTCCAAATGTTTCAAGGTTCACTATCCCCTGGAACCTGCAGCGGGCGCCGGACAGGCGCACAACATCAAATAAGCCCCATTAAGCCCCATCAAATTGGATGATTATCCCAGAAAATACTATTATATTTTCTGAATATATGTTAAACTATAATATACTATAATATATTATAATATAACATAATACTATAAGAATATACAAAAACTATAAAAAAATATACAAAATTATACAAATATATTTAAAAAAATATATATATATATATAAATATAACTATATATTTAATTATATAATTGTATATATATAATTATATATATAATTATATATAATTATATATATAATTATATAATTATATATATATACATAAATTACTGAAATATTTTTTTTTCGTAGGTCCCCCCTCCAAAACAAGCAAGAAGGTCATTGGGATATTACAACTACTGTAAACCCCTGATAATCCTCCGTTCAAAACGCCTCAGCCAAGCAACAAGGCCAAAACAGGTAGTGCCAGCACCGACCAGATTCCGCTTCCCAGCTGCGACAAACGCGACGATGCCACAGCAAATCATGAAAGAGGTTGAAATCTACCTAGGGATGTGGCATTGTTTTGGGGGTAGTTTAAGCGTAAGTGAATGGGTTTTTGACATATCTTATAGCAACCCCCAGAAAGATAGAAAATGACAATTGTCACTACTTTGGTAGATGCTGACTTTTCTATCATCTTTTTGGGGGCAACTACCAGTGAAATACCAGATTATTAAGTGGATCACATAATTGAATAGATGGTAGGGTTCCCTCATACAAAAACTTGAGGATCCATTGGTATCTCTGTTCCTTTTTCAATGACCCAATGCCCCACAGCTGAGTATCAAATGATTCATCACCCTCAAACAAGCACACTTCGCGATAGTTACCCATGCTAATCATCATCTATGGTCGTTATAGTTCCAACAAATTCACCCCGCTATTTTCCCATGATGCCTCCATTACATCCCACATTATAACACCAGTTTTGTTCTGCCAAAACCTCCATGTTTGAAGCTTAACAACCCCCATCCCATGAGCACAAAGCCATACCCATCGGCCTCTGGCACTGCCTCCGGCACTGCATCCGGCTCCAAGTCCTCCTCACCCGCGCGACTGGCCGACACCAAGCTGTGCCACGGGACCATGCGAGATGCTTTGGCAGTGAGTTTGTCCGACTCAAAAGGATCAACTGATCCATCCGAGCTTCCGTCTCCTGAACTGTGGACGATGGTGATGAGGGTGTAATTTACACCGCGGAAAAAATGGATGAGTTCCGCAATTCTTCGTCCAAGATATCCAAGTCATGGGTGATCATGGGTGTTGCGTGGCTCTCACATCCCATCATTATTACCATGTGGCTGAGATTAGTAGCCTGCGAAAGGCACGGGGTAGAAAAATCGAGGGGCCCTACCCTTCGAGTAGCAACTAATCCTGCCCTTCAAGAATACGTCTAAAACAAGGGCAGCGTCCACGCATTTTCCCGCCCTAAATTGCAAGCTCTATGCATGCTCCGAATATAAAACACACCCAATGATTGGGACCCAAACTAATATCTCCCATACTATAGCATCCCCCCCCAAAAAAAAACAGTTGGAAGCCTGGAAAATATGTGGGAAACATCCATCCTGGAAAGACTTTTCGGCACCTTTCTTTTCGTGTTGCTATGAACCAACGTTTCCGTTGGGCGGTGTCCTGCGCATTCTTTAAGGCTTTGACTTTGACCAAAGTCCATGCTGGTGACAGCAAGGCTAAGAAGACAACTGCTGAGGCCTGGCGGGGATGCGTCAGGGGATCAAGTGGGGTTTGGGGTGGGTCATAACCCCGTAATTAGTAATTGAGCCCTAAAATTCTATGTTTTGGTGGGATTCTATCTTTCTATTTTGTAGGGAGTTCCCATGAAGCATATTTGCCGGGCGATCGCGCTGATGAACCCCGCAAAAAAAGGGAAATCATCTTAATATTAATATTCCAATTTTAATTAGTTCAACATCTTTTAACAGTGATACCATTGCCTTTTACCATCGCATCACATGTGTTGCTAGCTAATACTTGCTTATTTCCGTTAAGTGACCCAAATACCTACTTAACCATACTATCAAACATGCATAATTTAGGCCAGCGTATCCTGACAATGACTGATATCATTTAATCCCCCATAAAACACCCATTGAACGTCCCCCGTTGTACCACGAGTTCTTGTTGCCAAAATATAGCCACGCAGCCAACACCCATGCACCTTGACCCTCACCGTGGCCGCGGTGCCGTCCGCACTGCGGGAGCCTTTAAAGGCGCCGGAGCTGTCGCGCAGGGTGACCACGTTGAGGGGCACCGGGAGGCCGAAGTCGAGGTTCACCACCTGACGGCGGACGTTGGGGGCGAGCTTTTCTATGGCGAAGGGAGAGAAATATGGAAAAAATGGTGAGAAAATGTTTTTGAACCAAATTTCGGGAGTAATGAAATGAGTTGATCAGCCAAAATACATGGATTTATGAGGATTTATCAACTATAATGAGGATACATTGGGATATAGTTCAACGGGATATGTAACAAATTTCATATGTGTTTTAGCGGGGTAAGTCTGGAAATGGATACCCCGCAAATGAAATAGCAGCTTGACGAGGCAAAGAATCAGCATGGGAATAGGGGCAAACCTTTGATTTCCCAATTGAATGATTAGCCTTGGGCCTTGGGTTAGAAATTGCTAGTAAGTGCACAACATTACACGAATTACACGACCGTATAGTCGGTATATGACGAGCATCATCCCAACATGAGGGGCGAATCAGGGGTGAGTTGAACAGTGAGCTGTGGACCAAACACGCATCGATAGATGACATATGATGATGCGTATTTTATGCGTATTAGATGTATTTACAGGTTCTGTCAACTAACCCCTGGGATAATTTTATTACCTTTATCACAGGATGGGGGGTGGTGAGGCTGTAGGTAATTTCAATAATATAATGATATATTATATAATACTAATAACTACATATTTCTATCAATATCTATTGCAACATCTACTGTAAACATCAAATTTCCTGCCGCACCTCTGAAAGGAATTCTTGATCACCCACTTCCAGAATAAGGCTAAACTCCCAGCGAGTCGTGTTACCTGGGATATGGGCGCAGGTAAAGTTGTTTGCCCGGCTTAGGTCCTTACTGGGCACCAAAGTCTGTGCCAAATTTTGTTGATTTGGTTGTCCCTTTATAATTTTCAACTGGAATTTGAACCATCAGAAATGCGGCTGACAAGGCCTTTCAATGGTTGATTGATGTCAGGCAGAATCCACCCGAAACCTAGGCGCGGAAACTATCATCCAAAGATATCCGAATTGTCCGGACAATCATGTGACTGCCTTTCACAAACAAACCAACCAAGGGCAAATCTCTCCAACATTTTTTTGCCTGGCATTTCTGCAACAACTTTAGTAAACTTTAGTAGTTGAAGCCGGCGGCAAACAAGGGATAGGATACTGGGTAACAAACTATGGGAAAGACACTGTGCATGATGTAGAACCACTGAAATGATTCTGTTTTCGTTTACACTCGTGTACAGAATCACGTGTCTAAGCATGGACAGTTCAGCGCAGGCAGTTTGACCCACTGCAAGCTGCATGCCGCGGTATATGTTTTTTCCGTTGTGAACAATGCTCCTCTATCTCCTCTGGAGATCCGGAAAAACGAAAGGTGAACCAAAGTGAAACTGCGATAAATTGTTGATCCTGGCGAATGTCAACTTGAGCCGTCCTTGCCCACTTTGTGCCTTTGGAGGACATTGGCAATTTGTGCGGCGATTTCTATTTCCGATTTTTCCCGGCATTCCAGGAACACGACGCTCGGCTTGAAGACACTCAGAATATATCCTCGAGCAAGGTACTCTTTGTCATACGCGTGACCAGGCCCACCTGAACAACTCCCCAAAGTCCCCAAACCCTGCAGCTAAAGTGCTTCATCCGCTGGTTTTGGGGATGCTCATTCTTTTCTAGAAAAACTGTAACATGTAGCAATGGGTTTCATCACTTCTAGTATACCTGGTAGTCGCAATACAAGCTTCATTCAACACTCAGGCAGCTAGGCTTTGACAAATACCAACCTGGTGGCTCTGGTGGGTACGTGTCATCCACCTTGAGCGGCAAGACTTTCACAAATTCCTCATAGTCCAGGGCAAACTTCAGCTCCTTACAGTGTTGCAGGGCTCCCAATATATTCTATTTCAAACAATGAACAAGTCTCCAGTTCATTAATCGGGGTGCCAATGTTAATAATTTAACACTATGGTGATCAGGATTTCTTGCATTATGACTGCAGGTGGAGGCAACCACTACTTCACAACCAAAAGATTGATGTTTAACAACCCTAACATGCAAAGTGTATCAAAGTGTAAGGAACCCTGTCCTTGTGGGAGGAATAAGCAGAAGCAGTCATCTCGCCGTAGTGCTTGGTACACACAGCAATCATGGTGCCATTTTCTTTGCGCAGCCGCCCCAGGTATTTGGTGGTCAAATCCCCGAAGCTTTGGCCAGCATCTGCAGTCACCATCAGGATATCATACTTTCGGGCGCAAAGAATCTGGAACACTTTGCGGATTTTCCTTAGAGAGACGGCACTCAGGTAACATAAACTCAAGCTTTCCACAGGCGCCAAAACGGATGCCAAAACCAAACTGGGGAATACTGATCCCATGTACTTGCCATGTGATTGGAGGTTGACACAATAAGTACCTGAAACATCCTGTAACTACAATACCAAAAGAAAAGAAGTAAAACTTGAAAATGGCACACCCCAGCTGAGCATCTGTTCAATCGGGCCTCCATCGAATCTGGCAGAAAACATGGCCACCCGAGCGCCTTCCCCAGTTGGAATTTTGTCTCCTGCTTCTGCAATCTTTCCGTGTCCTGTAGCCTGGATGGACTTGGTTTCCTGCTTTTGAGACAGAATTTTCAAAGCCTCATCCGCAGCCTCTTTCACCTTCCCTTTCCCGTGCCTCACAAGAGGCTCCAATGTGGCAATCCCACCGGCCTTCAGGATGACGTCCTTGGCCTCAAAATTATTTGCGAGATTTCGTAAGGCCCTGGCAGCATGCCATTTGGCATCATCGCTGCCAGTCACCAGCAAAGCCACCAATGCCTCAGCTCCACCTTCTCTGCTGATGGCGACTCTGTTCTCATCCGAAACGGCTGCCCAAGTTCCGAGCTTCTCAGCTGCTTTGGCCTTCAGCTCTTCGTTTCCAGATTCCAGCGTCCTGATCTCACCCCGAAGCTTCTCCGCGGAGACAATAGTGCTCGGCTTTGTCGCCGGATCGCCGCCCTCTGCAGAGTCGGACTCGCGGGGAAAATGCTTCAGAGCTTCCTGCGCCACCTGTCGGTGCACCAGCATCTTGCCATCTTTGGCCATCTCCTGAATAGCTTGGACTCCGCCGGCTGCCATGATGGCTGCCCTGTTCTGGTCATTTGTTGCCAAGCTTCCCAAAGCAAGTGCAGCATTTTCCTTGGCAGAATCGCTGCCACTTGTGACCAGTGCTATCAGCGGAGGAATGCCACCCGCAGCTGCGATGGCTGCCCTGTTCTGGTCAGTTCTTGCCAAGTTCCCCAAAGCAGCTGCAGCATATACCTTGGCAGAATCGCTGCCACTTGTGATCAGAGTTACCAGCGGAGGAATGCCACCCGCAGCTGCGATGGCTGCACCTGCAGCGCGTTCCTTGGCAGAATCGCTGCCACTTGTGATCAGAGCTACCAGCGGAGGAATGCCACCCGCAGCTACGATGGCTGCCCTGTTCTGGTCATTCACTGCCAAGTTTCCCAAAGCACGTGCAGCGTGTTCCTTGGCAGAATCGCTGCCACTTGTGATCAGAGCTACCAGCGGAGGAATGCCACCCGCAGCTGCGATGGCTGCCCCGTTCTGGTCATTCACTGCCAAGTTTCGCAAAGCACGTGCAGCGTGTTCCTTGGCAGAATCGCTGCCACGTGTGATCAGAGCTACCAGCGGAGGAATGCCACCCGCAGCTGCGATGGCTGCCTCGTTCTGGCTATTCCCTGTCAAGTTTGCCAAAGCACCTGCAGCATATTTCTTGGCAGAATCGCTGCCACTTGTGATCAGTGCTACCAGCGGAGGAATGCCACCCGCAGCTGCAATGGCTGCCTTGTTCTCATCATTCCATGCCAAGTTTGCCAAAGCGTATACAGCATTTTCCTTGGCAGAATCGCTGCCACTTGTGACCAGTGCTATCAGCGGAGGAATGCCACCCGCAGCTACGATGGCTGCCTCGTTCTGGTCATTCACTGCCAACTTTCCCACAAAGCACGTGCAGCATATTCCTTGGCAGAATCGCTGCCACTTGCGACCAGTGCTACCAGCGGAGGAATGCCACCCGCAGCTGCGATGGCTGCCTTGTTCTCACCATTCCATGCCAAGTTTGCCAAAATTTTTGCAGCCTCCTTCTTCTCACGATCACTGGCTTCTGGGTTTCTCAACGATTGCACACGATTTTGGATCTCACCATCCATCTATTGGGGTGCCCCTGGCTTGAGCCGCTGAGCTACCCATCCCTAGCTTCATGGAAGGTATGTCAAATGTTGAGACTTCAACATACTTTCGCAACCTGCGGAAGGTCAAGATTCCATGCGTCAGGCCACCGAGCCAGTCGGTACGCACCACATCGAAGTCGATGATGTGATTTTGCGCCGGGATCCTGGAGCTTTTCTCTAACATGGACCATAGATGTGGAGAACCCACCATGACTGTCGCGCATTTTTCCCAGGAAAATCATGGACATGTTCCACACCTATGTTATTTATTGCACGTTTAGCCCAGGGTAAGCATTGGACATACCCTAGAGAATCTCCATGACTCATAGATTACCACTGGCTTAATTGTGGATGATCACCTTAGATTGTTAGGGGTAAAATGAAACATTTAACTCACAGGGATGGGTTATCATTGGGATATTCGGGGGGATATATATATATATATATATATATAGTGGCTTTGTTTTGTATGATTGAAACCGGAAATAATAGTTCGTTCACTCCGATGGGATCAGTCCCCTTACTGCGCCTCAAATACATGTCTAAGATTGTCTAAGCATTTCTGGAGGGGTTCCGCTTATACTTGCCAGGAACAACATTGTTTCCTGAAAATGTTCCCGGACCCAGTTCAATGGACTATAATGTTCTCAAACTGGAAACAAACAATTTTGGGATGGAAACCGCAAATCATCCGGAAACAATGACCAACAAATATTGCACGTTCACTGGCCAACTTACATGGTGGACTGTGTACAGTGGCAATCATCCAATGTGCACTGGCCAAGTCGCACTATCCAAAACTACTGGACTTCTACGTGCTGTTCGTTGGCAGCAATTTGGATCAATCAATGCCAACATGACTGAAGCAAATGATTCCTTGCACTCAGGGGAATGATGAGTTATGTGGCCCGCGGCTACATGCAGGTATTCTAGATCTATTTCTGTGCCGGCCCATTGTTTACTCAATGGTTCTTCTAATTGGAGCGTTGGACCCCTGGAGCCCCCACTTAGTAAATGGTGAAGTGCAATCCATAAAAGGCTCATCATGTATATAGAAACCCCAAAAAAGATAGAACAGTAAACTATCATCATTTTAGTATATTGTTTCCTACCTTTTTTGGGGGTTGCTGCGAATCAAGTACAGTATATATGGTTACCAACCAGTTTCAAAGTTCATCTGGTGCGGTGTCTAGCCCCCAGTAATCAAGCATGACTTGGTGTAAAAAATCATTATTTAATTTCTAGATGATTTTCCCAGGTATCAACCTCACCAGAGGGTATCCCATTGACATAAAACCACCGCCCCTCCGAAGCGTGATCTCTAGAAAGCCTACCAAGCGTCGGTGCCCTGCAGGAAGCAACACTGGATTCGATGCCATTGGAGACGTTGGGGGTCAGCAACCTGGATTCGTTGGTGCTGCTGGTATCATACAGGACATGGATGTGTGTGAAAATGGGGTGTACACCCAAATAAGCTATTTTAATATACTTGAATGGGAAATATGACTATAGTAACCACTAAACTTTTGGGTAGCCTATTTTCAGACTAACCCACATGGTGGATTTGATGAGCAAACTTATGGCAAAATAGATGAAACTCTAGCCAAATCTGCCATCCTCCAAGCGTGGTCAATCTTAGATGCCGTGCACACAGAAAAAATACCCCAAATACCCGTCTAATTGTCCCAGCGGGTAGACACTCTGAGTATTGAATTAGTATCAATCCCAACACGGATACTTCATTAGTATAGTTTGTGACAAGCCTATTGCCTGTAACAGTGAGCACAATTTACACCACAAAAAGTTGCACGAAGAATTTAGCAGAAATCAAAGATAAAAATGCAACATGTGCAGCACACTTTTCAGTTTTGCTCAACTAGCTGTCAAATAACGCCCAAAGAGAAACCTACTTTTGCAAGCAATGACAGTGCGGGAGCAACATGCATTTTATTTCCACATGATTTTTTCAGTCTGCTGGACCACAAAAAGTTGCACGCGAAAAAACCGTTCTGGAGCACAATCTGGACCACAAAAAGTTGCACGCGAAAAGACCAATCTGGAGCACGATTTGGAGCACAAAAAGTTCCACGCGAAAACACCCTTCTGGAGCACGATTTGGAGCACAAAAAGTTGCACGCGAAAACACCCATCTGGAGCACGCTTTGGAGCACAAAAAGTTGCACGCGAAAAAACCGTTTCTGGAGCACCATTTGGAGCACAAAAAGTTGCACGCGAAGAACCATCTGGAGCACGATTTAGAGCACAAAAAGTTGCACGAAAAAAGGCTGATCTAGAGCACGATCTGGACCACAAAAACTTGCACGCGACAAAACCCATCTGGAGCACGGAAGACTCACTTGAATGGGCTGCGGCTTCTGAAGAGTTGAAGGCCCGTCACACAGCTGGCTTTGCACAAGTTCAAGACACTTCAGGGGTGCTATTTTTCTCTTCCTTCTTGCATCTTTGCAATTAAAACGAAAGAAAAAAACACGATTTATAGCACAAAAACATTCACGAAAAAATACGCGGTTTTGAAAGAAAGTCGGGCTTCCGCGCGCGCGAAGTGGGCGTAGGTAACTCGACCAGTTGAAAAATTGCATGGAGCACAAAAAGTTGCACGAGAAAACACCCATCTGGAGCACGATTTGGAGCACAAAAAGATTTGGAGCACAAAAAGTTGCACGCGAAAAGACCAATCTGGAGCAGGATTTGGAGCACAAAAAGTTCCACGCGAAAACACCCATCTGGAGCACGATTTGGAGCACGAAAAGTTGCACGCGAAAAGACCCATTTGGAGCACGATTTGGAGCACAAAAAGTTGCAAAAACATGGCAAGAAACTCTATCCTATTCTGTAAAATGATTTTGTGTTCTGTGCAATTTCTGGGGTGCTTCAAAAAAGTGGGCAACCTGTACAATCAGTTCTTCAATTTGTTAATTGTCAATTGTGTAGAAAGGCCGCAATAAGCAAGATGGCCAGGCACTGTGAAGAAGACATTGCAAACAAATCACAAAGCACCCGAATAGCCTATTCCAAAATAAACCAATTCGGGGGTGATGTTTTTGCAGGGGGTCCCACAAACAAAACCCTTTTACTGACTGTTACAGATATTAGGCTAGAATCAAAGTATAGTAACTCAGAGATCAACCAATGATTCATTGCACATGACTAAACAATTACGTAAACAGCTTCCCCGAAAAAAGAAAGACCGGTAAATCCCATTAAACTAGTGATACCCATCCTGTCATCCCCGCCCTTCGGCGACAACGTCGCACCTGCACCCTGCCAGCTGCCCCCGCAGCGTGCGATTCCCGGCCGCCAAGGCTATACCACTGGAGGCAGCAGTTGCTTCGTGGTGGCTGTGGTTGTTAAAAGGCTCAAAACCTGGGTCAAACAACGGGCTCTCGATTGGACATGGGGCCAATCGGGATGTTTCGAAGGCACAAACAAAACATACAAGGATTTATGTAGAATAACTTGGATGAGTTGGGAAAATTCTACGGTTGAAAAATCTGTTGAAAGCCTGGATCTTAGGGGTACCATATGGTATCCCGCATGCTATCTCGTCACCACAAAAATGGTGACCTTTGGTTCATCTAAACTGAAAATGCAAATAAACATATCCCCAAACCAAACCTATCCAAACATGCTGCCGGGAAGCATCCATGATATCCTGGAAAGGAAGTCAAACAATCCAAGTTCTCCTCGCAACTCGGCACAGGATGCCTCGTTGGCTTCCGCCAAGGGCTCGAAGACGGTCCAGAGCTTGCGGTCCTCGTGGTTTCTATCGCCATTTATGGTTGGTATCCTCATGGTAAATCCACCAGTAAGGTCCTCATCTGTTGGATGCCATATCCAGGTCCATGTTCGATGTTGCTCCTATGAATTTCTGAAATATTCCCAAAAGTCCCCAAGGATATCAGATTTTTGCAACTGTGCCCAGAAAATATAGGTAATACGCTATCCCCATGATGCCCCACCCACTTTCACATTTCTGGCATGTCATTGGGAATGGTTATAGGCTTTGGGTATACAACATCACTGGTTGCTTCTATCCTTGTTCCCATTTATCCATAGTAAATCCCTTGTTAATGCTTGGGCCCACTTCAATTTATTGATATTTCTTGTATGGTTCCCTTTCTCCATGGAAAGTTGTGAGTCCCTAGTATATTCCTATCAATGATAAATGGGATAAACATAGGGTGGAAATGGCTCCGAGTTGCAACCACTGAAGAGGCCGACACTGGAAGACCCAGGAAGAAATCGTGCAATGTGATGCTGAGGTTGAAGTCCGTCAGTCCCGGTGGCAAGCCTTGGTTGATGCTGATGGCCATAAGGATCCTTTAACATAAAATTTTAAATATATCTAAATTTTAAATAGATATTTAAATTTTAATAATATTTAAAATTTAAATATATTTAAATTTTAAATTTAAATATATTTAAATTAAATTTAAATATCGATATTTAAAATTTAAATATTATTCTAAATTATAGTTTAATAAAAGTGAAAATAGAAATTTAAATTAAACATAAACTAAAAGTGTTTCAAATATCTAAACTATATTTCAATTTAAATATTATTCTAAACAATTAAATAATTAAAGCGAAATTATAAATTTAAATCAAATATAAATTGAAAGTATTCACATCTAAACGATATTTCAGTTTATGTGTAATATTCTAAATTACTATATAATAAAAGTGAAAATAAAAATTTCAACTAAATATAATTTGGAATTATTCATATATCTAAACGATATGTCAATTGAAACATTTTTCTAAATTACTATATAATAAGAATTTCAATTTAAGTTAAACTGAATATAAATTAAAATTATTCACATAAACGATATGTCAATTTTAACATTATTAGAATTTTTATTTAATAGAGGTTGAAATATACATCGAAATTAATTATAAATTATAATTATTCAAACATCTAAATCAACTATTCTAATCAAACTCTCAAAACTCTTAAAACTCAAATTGTTATATACGACTCTCAAAACCCTCAAAAATAAACTTGTTGGGGCTCTCGAACCTCTCAAAACTAAAACTGTTACGACTTGCAAAACCATCACAAAAATAAACCTGTTGCGATCTCGAAACTCTCAAAACTAATGAATTCTCAAAACTAGAATTGCACTCCTCAAAACAATATATATATATATGCCAATATAT